ACTAACATAATTGCTTACGTAGCGTGGTAACAGTCGTTTGCTACAGCGTGTACCCGTTCACGTGAGCCTCATTACTTCTCCTTCTCTGCTAGTGTATTTAATTTTCATGTAGTTGCAGCACAAACTTCGGACACTTCTATGCTGCCACATCACCCCCAGATCTGCATCATCATCGTTTCCAAGACCCTATCTCAATCGATATGTCTCCTCCCTCTTACCGCCCACATTTTCCTTACATACTCCGCCAGCGAAGCATTTCCAAAACACAACAATAACGCTTCCAACAGCAGCAGCGGCATATGTTAGGAGCCTTTTTCAGCACCTTGCAGCGAAAGCTTCACAAAGCACATCTCATCCTCGTGTAATAGATGTTACCTAAGTATGCCGTTAGGAAAACGGGGGAGAAAAAAAATACACCTCGCTATGCCCCCCTCGTTTGTCCATCTCACCGCTTCAGCTCGGCAAACCGCCGCGCAAGCTCATCGACATCCGGTATCTTGCCTAGCCCATCCTCCTTCTTAGCCGGCTTCTTCGTCTCACTCTGCGCTACCTTGGCTGCCGCGCTACCAGGCAACTTTAACCGCGGCGCCACGTTGTCCGTACTGGGGCTCGGTGGGACGACTCGTAGCGGACTTTGCGGGCCGAGCTTCTTCGGTGTGTTCGCCTTCGCCAGCGCTTCCCTCTCTTCCTCCTTCTTGCTGTCCTCGCGCTTGTTCGCATCGGCGACTAGCGGGTCTTCCAACTCGCCATCCACCTCCTCCGCAATACCACCAGATGGCTCATCGTCATCGTCTTCAGCGACATCTCCCGAGGTCTTGGCCACACCATACGGCACTCCGTAGAAGCTCGCAATCTCGGTTAGATAGGCATCGACCAAGTCCTCTCTCGGCGTATCGACCCTCAGCTTCTTCACCACGCGCTCCGCCACGCCCTCGCCCTCCATACTCGCAACGGCAACATCCTTGCCGAACTTGTCCACCAGCAGCGCGCGCACCGTATGTAGTTCCTTGACTTCGGTTCGCGGGGCGGCGTAGATTATGCTGCGCACGGCTTCCTCGAGCGCGGGGTCGAGGAGTGTTGACGAGGCCGTGGATGAGGGCGCCGAGGACGAGACTTGCGACTCGAGGAGTTGCGATCGCGCCAGGAGGAGTTCGCAGTAGAGCTCGAGGATTTCGTGGAGTTCGGTGGTGATGTCGGAACGGATGATGTTTTCGACGCGTATCCGGGCCGACTGTACTTTGCCAACCTAGTCCGTGTAAGTAGGAAGCATGTCGTGATAGACACAGAAGTAGAGGGGCAAGGTACCTCGATCAGCTGCGCCATCTCTCTCCTTTGCTGTTTTACTTTTGCGCTATCTTTTTGTTGTACCATGCGGAGGCGCGATATCGACAGCTTGAGCTGCACCTTGAGCTTGTTCTGCCCCATATTAGCCTTTGCACGCGATTACGAGGCCAGACAAAAAGTAAAGACGTACGACCAGTGATGCTGAAGGCGCCATGGTCGACTGTGTGCTAGAATGAGGTACTGAAGAGGCGCTGTGTATGTAAAGGGCGCGATGAGGTTCAGTGTAGGTAGCAGCTACAGGTCACTGGAAGCTGGTAGTGGGGTCCAGCGTCATGTTGGCGGGGTCGGTCCATACCTCGACAGCTCACATCTCCACCACCAACACACGACAAAAGTACAATGAGGTGGAGTACATGGACAACGTAAAAGCAGACATTTGTGTTGCTATCAGATTTGTAATGCGCCGGTAAAAACCCCAGCTAGACGCCTCATGAATGCCACGCGTTTTACAACTTTACAACGCCTGAATGCCCTTGAAGAAGCCGTTACCCATGAGTGCTGTGTTTCCCTTGACCAGCTCCCTCATCTTCTCCACCTGCTGCTCCTTCGTCAGCCCCTTCGACTCAACCTCGTCTTTCCACTTCCCCAACAACTCCTTCAACATGCGACTCCCATCCTCGACCTCCTCCTTGCTGGCCTGCACAAACCCATCTTCGTGCTTGCCGGCAAAGTCTTCCAGCTCATCGGCTTTCCGCTTCGCCATGTTGATGACTTTCTGCGGGAAGCGGACAAGCTCTGCGACGTGGATGCCGAAAGATTGGTCTGAGAAGCCGGGCTCGACTTTGTAGAGGAGCGTGACTTCGCGTTTCTGTGGCACGGTTTCCATGTCCACGTCGTTATCGCCAGCGGGGTTTGTACGGGTGCCTTCAGAGATGTGAGCCACAACGTGGAGGTTCTGCACTTGCGGATACGTGTCGACGAGCGCTGTCAATTCGTGGAAATGCGTGGCGAACAGCGCAAACGCACCGATCTCTTTGACGATGTACTCTGATATCGCCCATGCAAGACCGAAACCGTCGTATGTGCTCGTGCCGCGGCCGAGCTCGTCGATGATGATAAGGGACTCTTTTGTCGCCGACTTCAGGATGTTAGCTGTTTCCAGCATCTCTGCCATAAAGGTCGATACGCCTTTGATCTGGCTGTCACTGGCGCCTACTCGCGCGAGTATGCAGTCGAAGATAGTGAGCTCGGCTTCTGAACAGGGGACAAAGCAGCCTATCTGCGCCATGAGGGCTATGACGCCAATTTGCCGGATGTAGGTTGACTTACCGCCCATGTTGGGGCCGGTAATGATGAGGAATTCGCTTGAATCTCGGACTAGGGACACGTCGTTGGTGATGAAGGAGATGTCGTCTTGCATTTCCATACACGGATGTCGCGCTTCCTTGAGGATGGTGTTGCCGGTTCCTCGAGCATGCATTGTCGGTCGAGTGTACGATGTCGGGGCGTGGACCGAGACGTGCGCGAAGGCGACAATGACATCGAGATGTGCGAGGACGGCAGCCAGCTTTTCGACCACGGGGACGTATGATGATGCGACTGAGACGACTTCGTTGACTAGGCCGGACTGTGTGCGGTTGTAGTTCTCGGAGAGCTGGTCGAATTCTCTGCGCTTCTCCTGTAGAGTGTTTGTAGTGAAATACACACCGTTCTTCTGTGTTGAGATCTCCTGATATTGCTTCTTTTGTCGGATGCAGCCGGCTTCGTTGCGGGTGAGCCTGAAGCACCAACCGTTGACTTTATGGTTCTCAAGGAACAGCTTCTTATCGGTATCCTGGTTCAGATCGTTGCCAACCCGCATGTGCTCCGACTCCATGTCGCGTTTGAGCTTGTCGAGGCGCCTACGAATGGTTTTCAGTGATTCGTCAAACTCGGGCTTGATGATGAACTCGTGGTTGTCCAGTGCTGCAAGGTCTACAGTGGTCTCGACCATGTCTTGCAAGCCCGCGAAAGCCGTTATGTACTCACGCAGCTTATCGGTATACTCAGCATCGAGCGGTTCCTGGTACTTTTCGTCCATGACGGCCTCGAGCGAGCTGAGGAAGCCGGGTAGCCGAATGACGACTTGGTAGGCCCGCACGACATCCTCCAGATTGGCGACTTTGCGCTGGAATTTCTTTGCCAGTCGGTATAGGTCGGGTATTGCGCGCAGATGCTCCTCTTGCATCGTCTGCCTCAGCTCCGTATCGTTGACGAAGGCTTCCACCAGCAGCTGCCGCCGCTCAATTTCCGTGACGTTCATCAGGGGCTGCTTAAGCCACTGTGCCAGTAGCCTGCTGCCCGTGGGCGTCTTGCAGTGGTTCAACAGCCCGTACAAGCTCATGTTCTTCGCGCCGTCTCGTGGCCCCGGCATGAGGTTCAGGGCTTTTAGGGCGGCGGCGTCGAGCTTCATGTACTGCGAGAGATCGTGCTGGTAGAGCTGATACTGGCCAAAGTTAGACGAGTCGGACATGACGCCCAGGTACCGGATCAAGCAGGCAGCCGCACCCATGGCCAGTTTCAGGTCCGCCAGTGGCAGTGTGCTGGCGGCGCGGTCATCCTTCAACAACCGCGGGAGATCTTGCTCGATGTCCTTGGTGCCGAAGTCGGCCTGTGCCCGCTCCGCCACGGCGCAGCCGCAGTTGTCGGCAATGGTGCGCAGCTTGCCGAGCTCCACGTCCTTCTTGGTGGCGTTGACCTGTATGAGACATTCCTTGACGCCGAGCTGGATGAGCAGCGCCTCGAAGTTGGAGTACAGGTCGTTGTCGAGGAACTCGGTGACGCCGAGCTCGCGCACGCTGGCATCGGCAAAGCAGACGCCCACCTTGCGCGCCTCGGAGGCCTTCGCCGTGACCTTTACCGCTAGGATGATGGGCGCGTTCTCCATGCAGCCGCCGAGCTCGTCCTCGAGATCCTGCAGGTTGCCGGGCGACGCCTGCTTGGCCAACTTCCAGTCGGTGCGTCGGCCGGCAGACTGCCAGATCTCGATGCGCTTGCCGAGGCGGAAGAGGGCGTCGCGGAGGAAGTTGCGGAAGACTGTGATGGTCATGGTGACGGACTCAAGGCCGGGCTCGCGGCCTAGCTTGCGGATGACAGCCGTGGTTCTGTACACACTGTTCGCAATCAGCTGCGCATCCGCGCCGTGCGCGCTGTAGTAGTCGCCGCGGTCGAAGATGCGGATCGTCTCGTCGTCCTTGGCGGGCAGGTTGCGGAAGAACTTGCAGAATCCGGACTCGTCCTCCTCCTTGATCTCCGGCCGGGACGCCATGTTGCAGGCCACAAGGGAGTGGAAAGATGGGCTAGATCGGGAAAGAGAATAGCGAGAAGGGGTGGTGGGAAAGGGAGAGGAGACGTGGTAATGTGTTGCAACTTCCGTTGATGGCCGGCGCGTCGCGTCGACACGACGTCACGCGCGGTCCAGCTAGCCGTCGCTTATGTAACATGCAGGGGCAACCCGACAAGCAAAAAGAACAACAGGCACAATTATTATTGTTCAACATCGTTACAGCGCCATCATCACTAGCACGACAATCATATAAAAAGAAATCATATGCCCCAACGTGTTACATGTAAGGGCAATGCGACGAGTGAAAAGAGCAACAGGCACAATTATCCTTGCTCAATATCACTATGGCTCCATCACCTCTTGCACAAGACTTGTACAAAAAGAAATCGGACAGCCCGACGTGGGGATCGAACCCACAGCCTTCAGATCAACACTGTTGTTGCTGTGTAAGAGTCTGACGCTCTACCAATTGACTATATTATGTTAGAGAAAGGATTTTGATTGAAGGCATTGGAGATACGTACGCTAGCCAGGCATGTGATAATTTGTTCGATGAAGAAATGTGAAATTGATAGGAATCTAACCGGAGGTAAGATACTGGAGGCGATAATGTGGCGCTGGATCAAGCTTGGGTTGTGGAAGTAGAAATTTCTTTGGTGGGGCCAGCGGCAAAGGGCCGGCGAAAGGTTGGGGTGGTGTGATATGCTAACAACTTCTCTTGAGACAACCACTCCGCTTTAGGGAAAGCTGGATGATGGTCGCACGCTTCCTCAACACTCTAGAAATCGTGCAAGTGCCAATTTGTCATGTCGTATACCCATACATGCCGCAGCCCCAAGAACCTTGGATAACCGACCACGGCCGAACATGTTACTGTATGAAACAAACTCCCTTGTTCCCTCACCGATACTCCCTCAAGACCTCCTCCCTCGCCAAAAGCGGCGGCGGACTCGGTGCCCTCGGCGCGGGTAGACTCAGTCTTCTCGCATCCACTTTGACCTCTCGCAAATCAGGTTCCCGTTCCAACTCGTCAACGTCGTGGTAGGTGCCGACGTGCTTGACCAGGCTCTCGACGGTCCGGCAGATGGCATCCACGTCGCGGTTCCGGTTGCAGAGGGTGCACGCGTACTCGCCGTCGGGAGTATGGCACTTGAGCACGAAGCGCTGGCCGAGGCGGAACTCGCGCGTCTCCATGACATCCGTCTTGTAGTGCTTGTCGATGACGGTCAGCGGCGTGCGCTTGCCGATCATCCAGAAGTCGTCGGCCGTGACGTCGAGGCGGATGCCGCAGACGGGGCACTGGCACGTGCCGCCGGGGGCGAAGGAGGTTGCGAGGGGCCTGTTCGCCACATGCTGCAGGTCAAGGCTGTATCGGCAGAAAAGCTGATCGGGCCCGTCGAGCATGGCTGTCGCGGGGCGCGGCGAGCCGGCGCCACCCAGGCGGTGTTGGGCTTCACGCAGGGCGTCGAGGGAGCCCTCGCGGGCCTGGTTGGAGGCGGCGATGAGCTTGGCCATGTCGGCGCGGGTGAGCTGCCGGTCGTTATAGAGGGCGTCCTGGAGCACGGTGATGACCGTCTGTTGTAGGGAGATAATCTGTGCCTGGAGCTGGTTCTCGATCACGGCGTCGCCCTGTGCAAACCGGCTGCCCATCCGGCCGTAGCCCTGGTCGTACATTCGCTGGATCATCATGCCATCGCGCTCGAAGTTGTTGCCAACATCGTCGCGCCCTCTACTAGCAGTGCCACCATGCCCGTTCTGCAACCGCTCAATCTCATGCTGCCGGCCCTCGGCCTGCTTCTGCACCTGCTCGAACTGCGCCTTCAGCTCCTTGATCTGCCCATCCTGCTGCGTGTCGCGCGCCTTCTGCCGGTGCTGCTCACGCTTGTCCGCGACGCGTTCCCAGAGGCCCATGGACGCCGTGAATGTGCCGACAAGCGTGGACGCCAAGGTCGCTACGATGAACGTTTTCTTCGAGCGGACGCCAATCAGCCAATAGAGCACGGCGCAGTGGGAATGAGCAGCTGCATACCTTCAGGTTCTTCTCCTCGATCCATGACGCATAGTTCATCGCTGCGGTCGTCGTCGTGAGCCGTCACGTTCGATGGCCGACATGGCAGTTGCTGAGGGGGACCGCAAGTTTCACCCCGTAAGCTGTTATCATGTGCCGTGACGTCATGCGGGCTCGGCTATCTGCTCCGGCTACCAATGCCATCCCGCCATCTCCGCATCCATCCACGTTGCATCAGCCCTTTCTTGTCACCATGGCCTTCGTCTGTGGATACAGCAACGCCTTCATAACATCTTGTAGCACCGAAAACGTCTCCCAATATATACATTTCTTATTATCATAGCCCACCATCACCCCTCTTATCTAGCCCCTCACGTTTAACATACGCCATCTCGCTCGCGGGTACCACGATCCATTCCCTCGAATCTATGATCTTATCCAGTCCACAGCTCCTCCCCTTCCAGCCCTCCTCCCTCAGGCCCCTCGCTACATTCCATGCACCCGTGATGCAATCATTGACTCCCACACCATTGAACTGACTCCCTACAACGCGTAGTCTTCCCTTGAACTCATCTGTGATACCCTCTGCGAAATTCTTCAGGCGGTCTGAGTAGCCCAACGTGTATTGCGGTATACAATCCCTACTCAAATTGACGAGATGCGCTGTGGGTTCGTCCGTAATCCCAATATGCCTCTCAACAACACGCTTCGCCATCTGCAAGCCCTCCTCTTGACTCGGATAACTTTCCCAGCCATCCCACCAATGACCACCCATCATGACGGTGATCTTTGTCCCTTCAACGGTGTCCTGCCCTTTGATGGCCGAAGAGTCGAAGATGACGCCCAGCGCTCTTTCGGGATTTTGTTCAAAGGGTATTGACTGTGGGATGAGGTAGCCAAAGCCTTGGACGGGAAGGAGGGTGGGATTGGGATAGTACAGGTTGACGGTCATGACGGTGACGTAGGGTGTAATGTCGTTGTTGCGGAGGGTGGAGATGGCGAGGTCGAAGGATTGCGTGGAGGGCGATGCTTCATCCTGCTCGTCGTTAGCGAGTATAGCGTTGAGGGGGTATCGTGGTCTCGCACTCCTGAGACGATCTCCACACCCATATCGCCGCCCTCAAGCGCCTTGAAAGATTGGATCGGCGCCTGCGTCCTGATCTCGACATTGCCCTTCGCTTCCACGGCGCTCTGCAGCGCCCTGACCAGCGTTTGCTGACCGTCCTTGAATGTGAACACGCTCGCGTCCTTCAGACTCTTTGCGAAATGCGGGTCCAGGTCAATCTCCTCATTCATCGCCTTCGCGACTTGCAAGTCCACGGGATGCACGATAGTGACTTGGTGTGGCCGTTGGTCTTCGCTCTGCATGCGGAAGAAGCCGCCCAGCGCGCTGCCGTAGCGTCCTTCCAGCTGCCATGCAAGGCCCAGCAGCGTCTTCGCGCTCAGCTGCCAGATGTCGCCGGCGTATATACCGTGGAAGACGGCCGAGACCAGGTTATCGGCTATCCGCTTGTCGACACGGCGTGCGAGGAAGGAACCGACAGTCTCGTCGGTCATGGCGGCTGGGCGCTTGGGCACCATGGGCTCTTTGAGCATGCCGAAGGCGCCGGCGAGGATGCCTGTGCGCCAGAGGGCGAAGAGGTCGGCGAGCGACGGGCGCTCCGAGGGGAGGCGGTTGAGGGTGTCGGGGTAGTACACGAAGCGGTTCTTTGCGCCGGGCTCGCTGCGCTTGGTGTAGATTACGGCGTCGATGAGGCCAAGCTCTTGGATCTGGGGAGCACGTGTTAGCTGGCCCCCTCGCCGTCCGCGTCCGCGAAGGGTCTCCGAGGCCATGGACATGACGTACCAGCAAAGCAGTAGGCGTAGAGTTCCGCAGCGTCCTCGGCCCCAGTTCAAACAGCACGTGCCCCTTCCTCCCCGCGGCATCAACAACCTGCACTCTCTTGCTCTTGATCCACCCACCCGGCTCCTTCCCCGCCTCGAAAAGCGTGATCCGAGACCTTGGAAACTCCTTGCTGACGAAATATGCGCTTGCCAGACCGGCGATGCCCCCGCCGAGAATCGCTATGCGCTCGGGGTATGGCGCCTTCGTGGAGCTGTGCCGACAGGCGAGTATGCGATGGCAGTGGTGCCATTGTGTCGCGGGCGGCGGGCGAGCGGCGACCGTCTTCCATGTCGACTCAAGGAGCGGGGAGACATGACTCTTGCGCCGCATTGCCGGAGAGGAGTCGCGAGAAGTGTCGTTGCGACCTGCCAGCCATTTGACGCCCACCAGAAGGTTTTGATGCGAGGTCGGAGCTCGGGCCGCCGTCATTGATCTTTAGCTCAGCCCTACATGTGGAATCGCGACGGCATGCACGGCGCTAGCACACCGTCACAAGAAAGTCACGTCAAATGTCATGGCTGCAAGGAAATGACGTGTACGGACAAGAGCGCAGCCGGGGCCACTTGGAATACGGCTTTATTGTGCCAAAGGAAAGAACCCGCCCCTCCATATCAAGGCCGTGCCGCCAGCCCCAACGCCTCGATCCGTCATATCCAGATATATAGTACAATGCCTCTACCCATAACCGGTCCCTCTAGGACTGCACATGCACACTCTCACTCGCCGGAGCCTGGTTCATGTTCTGGTCCTGGCCCGGAATGACGAGCTCCTCTTGTTGCGCCTCGTCCACAAATTTCCTCTCGCTGACGTGTTCGCCTTCCTTCGGCGCCACCCAAACGTTCGTGTTGTTCTTCTTCTGCCCCGGGGCGTGCTTGTACAGGCAGCGGGGGTTCAGACACGGGCTGAACCTACACATGATGGTGCTATGTCCGAATTTGCAGCCTTCGACTGTGCACTCAGCGCCGTTGCGACAGGGCTGCGCGGAGGGGTGCTTGTACGGACAGGACGAGGGGTCGCGGCAGTTGGGCCAGAAAGCGCATTCCTGCTCCGACTGGAACTTCTGGCGCTGCGCTGGTGACGGGTGCTTTCCGACGCACTTCTTGTTCTTGCACGCGGCGCCGTAGTCGCACGTATCGTTCATATCAACAGGCGTACCGGGTATCGCGGCGGATGACTGGTGGACGAAGGCGCAGTCGGGGTTGGTGCACCGCAGGTTGAACTTGCACATAGTCGATGCCGGCTCCGGGCGCGTCGACGGCGGCTCGACGTCCATACCGTCACCGTGTTCTGCCGGGCCATCTGCCATGGCCTCGTCCTGGGCCTCCTTCTTCAAAAACGCCTTCGCGCTCGGGTTCATGCCCCGGCCTCCCTGGTGCGGCCGCTCGATGCGCTGATGCAGCGGCTTCTTCGGCCCGTTTCGGTTGTTGTGGCTGAAGTTGGGATTGACGAAGGCGGCGGGCGAGCCCCCGGAGAAGATTTGTTGCATCATGTGCGCCTGCTGCTCGTACATTTGCATGAGCGCCATCTGCTGCTGCGGGTTCAGCCCGATGCCGGGCATGCCAGTCTGCCCGCCCATGGGCGACATGGGCATT